AAGTTAATCTAGGAGTAAGAGGTCACCCTTAGCAATGTGATCTCCTTAGGCTTCTAAGGATCTAGTGTTAAGCAGCATCCAGTCCCTGGCTTCCTTACCCAATGCAACTGCATTTTAAAAAAATGCATGCTGAATCATTGTATAGTTTGGCTTGGCAGAGATCCTTAGAACAAGAATGCTTATACATGAGTAATCATGCCTACTGATTTATATAGTTTATGGCTATAAGAATATAAATTACAAAGCAATAGGATCCCAATTAAGGGTGGTTTATATTAATTCTTAGAGCTTGGCATATGGATTTAGACAAACTAGTTTAAATCTTCCCCTAAAAGGTACTAGCTTAAATGACCTTAGGCATGCTACTTAACTTGTTGAGATGTGTATTTATATAGTTAAGGAAATTAAAGTTATCAAGGTTAAATAACTTTGCCAAGGTCACAATGCCACTAAATTATGGTTGGCAATGGTGGACAGGAATATCCAAAATTAGAATTATAGTATGCCGCCTCAAGTTCTTCTGGAACTCTTTCAATGTCCAGGAATGAACTGGAAGCCCTCATTAATTTATACCTGGGCTTTTTTTTTTGAATGGATATTTGTTTTATTCTTTTTTTTTTTCCTGAAAATTTCCTAGTGCCTCATGATGCCTGGCTCATGATAGATTCTTAATAAAGTGTCTCTAGTATGTTGAACCATGAGGAAAAGGGGGGTCTAGAAATGCCAGCAGATGCCAGAGGATAATCACTTGTAGAGTGGGTGTTTTGGGTATTGTCCCAGTGAAAAATAATAGATGAGTATATCCTCTTCTGATGGGGGAGTGGGGGATTGTAAACTTCCCGACAGCAAGGCCCCCTGTCCTCTATTCGTTATATCTCTAGCCAAGGGCTTGACCTAATGTTAGCAAACTTCAACAAAGATTTGTGAATGAATAAATGAATAAATCACTGCCTACCTGATATAATTCTCATGGGATACAGAACTGAACGGTGGAAGCTGTTCAAAGAAGAAAGGCAAAATTCTGCAGCCCACTTAGGAGCAATAATAAATGATCAGGACTTTGATTAATTAGTACAAAGGTCAGAGACTTCTTAGACCAAGAGGAACAAAGTGTCAGTGTATAGACTCTTGAAATTCTTAAAGAGAGGATAAGTGCTTTTGGCTAGACTCTGACTAACCTATGGAGCTCCTTCTCCAGGAACAATGAATATTAGCATTTAGGGCCTTCAGATAAGCATGGACAGATCCTAATCCTGGGAACAGCAGGTAAATCCTCAAATTCACTTTCACCAGAATCCTGTGTTCAGAATGCAGCAAGGGAGTAAATGTGAATGGGGCAAACACCAATTTTGAGAAATAAAGACAATTTTTATATCCTAATGGTTTTAAAAACTTACTTGCAAGGTTTTTATACTGTATTAGTTTATTGGTTAATTTGTTACAGGATTATGATTTTATAAATATGTCATGGCTAATGTTCTGCCATTCAGCTGACATCCACTATGCATATAAAATGCAAGCTTCTTAGCTTGGCATAAAGCCCTGTGTGTTATGTTATCAAATTAACTACTTTTCCAGAATCATCTCAAATCCTTTTCATATGCAATTAATGCTCCAACTGTACTAAAGTTCTCTTTCAGGTTTTGGTGAATTTGCATATGCCATTTCCTTTTCCTGTGAAATTTGTCTAAACCTCAAAAAGTCTATTAATTTATCAAAATCCAATGCCAGTTTTTTTCCTCATTAAGTCTCTGAGAAGAGATATTTCTTTATCTATGTATCTGAATATGGCCCAATCTTCTCATTGTTTTATAACCCATACATGTGTACTTATAAAGGAATTATCAAAATAATATATCACCTATAGTTGCTCCAAATAATTAATATTTACTAAAACAATTTATAAATAAATTGTTGAAGATCAGACTATGAACTTGCTCCCTGAATAATTCTGCCTACATTTAGTGATGATGGACATTTGCTCTGGCATGTAGGGACCTGGAAAGAATCAAATCTCTTAAACTCGTAATTACGTCTATGTAGTCTGCCATGAGAAATGACTTTTCTAGTCTAAAAGCCTAGCTGAAAATGCCATGTTTTTGGTGATTTCATTAACATTTTAAGATGTTAACAATTTTGTCAGCCTAAACTGAAAATGACTGTGTGAGAAATGAAAGCTTGCATAACTCTGACACCCGCTATTCATGGCTCATTATCCTCCTGACTTTCATTATGCAGTGAGACAGTGGGGTCAGCCTCACAAAATTTAGGAACAATTAAGAAAATTACTATATGCAGATGTGACTTATGGACTGAGAATAACTAACTTTCTAAAGGACTGTATTCAACAAAATAAATAAGGATGATGAAAAATCCACAAATGTTTTATGGCTTAAGGCAGCTTTTCAGTTATTAATTCTAAAGATTCCTTCCAGGGTTTTGCTTGTTTCCCTTGTCCCTTACCGGAACACTTTCAAACCTTTGTCTGTATCCCTCAGGAGTTTAAGAAGCCCTAGAATCTTTTCTGAAGTTGTCTGAGTTCATTTCTCAAGTATATCCATGGGAATGAAAATATTGTCACTGACCCTTATAAATTGAGAATTACTGCTGGACTCCACACTTCACACTCTTCTTTTATAACTTTCAAAGACTGTGGAATAATCAGCCATGAGAGCAGAGGTTATTCACTAACCTAACATCCCGAGAGAGAGAGAGAGAGAGAGAGAGAGAGAGAGAGAGAGAGAGAGGGAGAGAGAGAGAGAGAGAGAGAGAGAGAGAGAGAGAGAGATGAACGTAAGATGGAAACTAGCCAGTAAGTACCTAGGTAAGTTTTTAAAAGGTACATATTTCATTTAGATAATATTTATCTAACAAGCACCTATTTTCTTCTATAATGACAGATGATGGAGGATGTAAATGTAATAGAAAGTTGCTTTTTCTTCTTTCGATGTCAATTTCAATAAATATCTATTACATGCCTGCTATATGCTAGGCGTTAGACTAAGCTGAATAAGAGTGTCCCTACTTAACAGAATTTATATTCTAATTCAGAATTCAGACACATAGACAAATAATGATGATGAAATGGGCTAAGTGCCATCATATAACTTTATGTATAAAATACCATGGGATCCTTGTGAAAAGAGGCGCATAATTTTAATATAAACTAAATCTTGAGGAGCCAGAAAGATTAATTTGAACCTGATAAAATGATACTCTAAGGTGTATACAACCAAAGTCAACAAATATTCCTCCCTGTAGGTTTGAAATATTTTTAGGATTCAAACAGAATTATTTGTCTTGTGTTCTCCATTTTACATGGGACAGAAAGATGCTAAATAACTCAATATAGTTTTTATAAATGTTTTTTTCCTATGATTGTCCTTTCAAAATAATGACTACGAGAAATTATAAATCAACTTTGCTTATATATTTGCTGTAAAGAAGACTATTCCTTAGATAAGCTCTGAGCCTCGATTAAATGCTAGTACACAAGCAATAGATTAAATCCAAATAGCAGCTGTAAAATAAAATATGCATACATTTTAATCTTGTGGAAATTTAAATAAAATATGGGAAACATTAGAAGTTCAGTTAATTATAGAACATCTAATTTTATTATTTATAAATTTCTAACAGATAAATTTGAATTTTTATTTTATTAGCAACATTTTAAAGGAATTTATAGGTTCTGCTTAGTTTTTAACTCTGCCCACATATATGACTGTTAGCATGTTGCCTGCACACAGTAGATGCTCAACTTATATATATATGCAATTGAATGTAAAATTCTTAGAATGCTCTGACCAAAGTAGGACACTATAAGATTGCTTTACACTCCTCAATGTAGTCAGACGTCCAGAGGCCGCTGCTCCAAAAAAGACAGCCTAAAAGTGATGGCCTAGTGTACAAGGAAACTTAATCTTTGAAATAGCAATAATTTTCTGACTTGGCCTCTCTGACTATGGGTGGTCCTTTTTCAGAAGAAGCCCCTATACAATATTTTTAAATGGTATTCCCTTTCCCCCAGAGATCATGAAAGCAATTTCTATATGACAGCATTGTCCTCTTTAGTAGTGTCTATTTATTCTAGGTTCTGATTCAGATCAAGGTACTGGAGCAGAAAGATATTTATAATTTAGAAATATATAAAAATGCAATAATAATACTTTTATGGAACTCTTAGTTCTATACATCTATCCTATTATCGATTTGTCTATCATCTATCTATCTATCTATCTATCTATCTATCTATCTCCTATATCACAATGATTCTACAGGTAGTAGAATCTACTGTTATATCATTTTACATAAATAGATAGAACATAGGAAACTAAGGCTTACAGAAGCTAAGTAACTTGACCAACTCACACAAGTAGTAACTGGCAGAGCAAAACTTCAAGGCTAGATGGTTTGGCTTCCTAGTTGATGCCTTTAACAACTACTTTATATTGCTTTAGGCATCAAGACCTGAGAGGAGACAGAAAAGTCCATTTCTTGCTTGACTAATGTTTTTCTTTATGAAGATTTAGAGAGATTTGTTAAAGTTTATTGATATGGAAAAGAGTGTGCAGGGAAAGAAGCATTTGTTGTGTATCTACTAGTAGCCAAGCTTGGTGTTGGATACTTTTCATATGTAATGTTATGGTATCTTTATTATACCATACTGAGGAATTCAATATTATCCTATTTTACTAATTAGAAAACTGAGGCTCAGAGGTTTAAAATAATGTCCCCAGACCTCAACAGCTACTAAGGTGCTAAGTCAAGGTTTAAAAGCAAGATTGAGTTCTCCCTGTACCATAGACTTACATGTCTATAGATAAAATTATAGTTGGAAGATCATGAGATACTAGCTTTATGTAACCAGGAATCCCCTAAGAAATATTATTGGAGTTTAAAGCTACTCAGTGTCAAAATTTCTGCAAAGGGTAATAGGGAAATTATGCTTCTTGTTGTAGTCCTATGAATGGGGATATAACCCAGGCTTTTCATCCTACCTTGATAAATATTGTCCTGAAGTGAGGTTTGTAGTTTCCACCTCCATGCAGTTCATTGTGCTGGGAATGAGAGCAAGTTCTGGTTGGATCATGGTGGCTGTGGCTACAGCTCTTGCGACCAGCTCCATAGCATCTTGTACGTAGTACTCAAAGACAGACTGTGTTGTTTTTCCATGAGCAATGAGCCCTAAGGGCAGACCTTCTGTCCTCAGTTCCTCCACATTCTGGGAATCTCCGAGCACCCAATGAAGTTCAAAGGGTGTTACCCCAAACTGGGTGGTAATTTCAAAAATCCGCCGTATACTTTCCATGTCGCAACCAAACATCACCATTGTGGGTGTGCTGTTCTTAATACTCTCAAGCTGGACCTGCAGGAAGCTCAAGAGGTCCTCGGTGGAGGAGAGGTTAGCAGTGATGTTGATAATAGACCCAAGATGGAACTTGGAGTTATTCTGGGTAAGAAGGAGGAAGTCAGTGATGTTCCAGTCTTCCTGGCACAGCAACAAACTAAAATTGTACCAGTTGTTCATGGTCAGGATTGAGACAGTGACATCAGCATCAGAACTTAATGAATTTTCTAAACTCAGTTGTAGGTGAAGGGGATTCTGTATTTAAAGATATGAAAAAGAAGAGTTAGAAAGCATGAAGCTTAATCCTTTATTTTTCCCTGTAACATTAAAATACCTCTGAAATAAAATCCCCATACTTTGGAAAACTCTGCTTCCTATGTAATGGAACTGCTTATTTATTTATCACAACTGATTTCCTAATAATTTTTGCTAAGAGTAGCAGAGGGCAGATGATTCTTGGTGTAAATATCGGGGGGGGGGTTGACACAATCATATATTTGGTCTTAGATTTTTGTCAGGATTGTCTACTTCTTTAAAGATAGTTCCCTTTATGCATTCCATTTCTTAGTTCCACTTTTAATAACTCATTTGTTAAACTTGCCTCTCAGGTGAAATAAAAAGTTACTTTTGCTTTCTTTTAAAATTAATAGCAGAGAAGTCTTCACATAGTGCAGTGCCTGTATAAGAATGGTGTGGAAGATGGATGTATCATGGTTTCCCAAATTTCTAGCCCCTTGAGGAAGCCACTCCTAATATATATAGAGTAACTAGCAGTATATATGTCAAGATTAAGTGTATATATATCAAGTGTATATATATCAAGATTAAGTGTATAGACAAATTTTAAAGACTAGATTACATTTCTGTATCTGCAGAGTCTAAATTCTTGCTGTGAAGTGAAATCTGTACCATTAAATACATTTATGAAACTTCCATCCCAATTTCATCTACTTATGAAACTCACCAACTCAATAGAAGAAGAGTATCTTATCTGAAAACTCACCAATTATTAGTCATCTTCCAATGAATGAACTTGTTAATTGTTCTTCCCAAGGGCAAATACTTGACATATTTATCTTATTTATATATTTATTTATTTTTAGTTGGAGTCTCACTCTGTCACTCAAACTGGAGTGCAATGGCATGCTCACGGCCACCACAGCCTTGATCACCTGGGTTCAGGTGATCCTTCTGCCTCAGCCTTCCAAGTAGCTGGAACCACAAACATGTGCCACCATGCCCGGCTGTTTTTTTTGATTTATTGTAGAGTTGAAGTCTCATCATGTTGCTCAGGCTGGTCTCGAACCCCTGAGCTCAGGCAATCCTTCTGCCTCCCCCTCCCAAAGTGCTTTATAGGCATGAGCCACTATGCCTGGCTTCCATATTTATCCTTTAATACTAACATCTTGAGAATGTTTAACACAATATCTCACCCATGTTAGGTGCATAATAAATATTGGTTGAATTAGATGAAATACGTTTCCATTGGAAATGATTAGACTATTTTTGAGAGCTTGTCAAGCATTCAAGTCAATAATATGCACTGGGAAATAAGAAGGGCTTTCCTGGTATAATTTCAAGCCCTTGTATAAAATGAAAAAAGTGTGACATGTTCCTACCCACCAAAAAAGTGTGTAACAAGAAGGAGGTTTTGAGCTGAAAACTTTGAACTCTTTGAAGGATTGAAAGGACTTTGATTTAAGATAAGGAATGAAGATTCCAAGGAGGTTTACAGGAGGAAAATTGTGGCCACAGGCAGAAAACGGGAGTACTCAAATTGGTAGGTGGGATAGAGTCAAAATTTATTCTGGAAATTTGTCTTTGTTTATTCCCAATTAAACTTTTGAGCAAGGCTTATAATGATAAAAGCAGAGCTTTGGAAGAATAATCTATGGGAAGTATTCAATAGGGAGAAGGAAAAAAAAGTCATCTAGAATCTTAATTATATACTAAGTGTATGAACTGGAGGCTATTGCTGGTAGTAGCAGGGAGGGTGATTAGAATATTTTTATAAATTAAAAAGAATTTAGTGACAACATCAGAAGTGAGAGGCAAAAGAGAGAAAATGTAAAAATCCAGACAATGGTATTCAATAGGTAGCTCCTGGTTTCCAGACAACTTGAGCTAAGAGGAACAAAAGCTTCACTTCCTCACTCCTCTTTGTGATTCATATACATTGCTCAGAGTGTTCTTTCTGCCTTCCTCTTTTAGTTTTCTTCCTTTTCTTCTTCTTTTTTATTTCCTCCTCTGTCTTAGCTCTCTCCCAGAAGCAAAGAGCAATGGGGAAAGCTCTACATTTAGCTGGCAGGAACAAATTATTCCCAACTGTTTTCTTGGCTTCAGCTTCCTATTCTGTTGCCAGCTTTCTTTCTAAAACAAATATAACCATATCATTCTCCTGTACCATAACCTCCAAATCACCCATAGGACAAATTTCAAAATCAATAGTATGGCTCAGGAGGCAGGGATGAGATTATTTGTTTCTTGCTAAGCAGGAAGTTAAATCAGCTAATCATATTGAGCATTTAACAACAGACAGAGAAACAAATGCATTTGGCATGAGAGAGATATGGAAGTTAAATGAAGACCCCCTCTAGCCCTACCAACGGGTAATGATTAATTCATATAATCACATTCATCCCCGCAAACAATACTACTGAGAAATTCCAGATGTTGAAATTAACCTTTTCACAGACTGAGGAGAAAACAAATACTTATTCAAATAAATGCCTATTAAATAATAGTTTAGAAGCGTCTAATGTTATATTAACCTAGCAACCTCAGGTGTGGTGTCTTTCTTTCCATGTAATAACAAAGGCATACTTACACACAGAGAGAGAAGAAAACCTACAACAGTAAAATCCAAGCCTAATAGTCAAACGTATGTCAAAGTTGGTAATAAAAATAAAACAAGACCTATTGAGCCTAATTGAGAGTCAGAACATGTGCCTTATATATGGTTTGCTATTTACAAAAGAGCAAACCTACAGCCTGACAAAAGGCACAGTTTTCCTTTCTTTCTTTTTTTTTTTTTTTTACAATTTCCACATTATTTGCCTCCTAAATCAGAAATCCAAGAAACAGAGTAATTCAAGAAGCAAGAAACCTCTTTCTATCATGTAGATGGTGTGAAATTGCCTCAAAAATTCATTCATTTCATATACAGGGTGCCAAAAAAGTATATACATTTTAAGAGATGTTATCTAAGTATTATTTTCTGAAGTTGAATTGAATTTTGGTAGCAATGTATAGTATGATGTTCACCCAACTGTGCTTCCATTTTCTTTGACTGTCCTGCCTGTCAAATGGTGACATTAGCATTCATTTGATTAACACCATCTTTTTAGGAAACGTCATACTTAAAATGTGTATACATTTTTTTTGTCACCCCGTATATTAAAATAAACAGGTTCAGAAGAGGGTGCTAGGGGATTAGAAAATATAAATTTAAATAGTACTTCTAGTTCCCATTCCTCTAAATGAATGTACTATTTGTCATATGGGGCATATTATTAATATTATTATGTGCTATCATACAGATATATTATTACATATATTATATACACAAAACCATACACATTAAATAAGCAATTTAAAACATTTTGCAATGTGATTTTCCTGCACTTTGAATTGAATATTCATTTCTACTCCATTGATTTTTTGGGTTTCATTCCATCAAAATCTGCTTCTGCATTATTTTGCAGGCTGATATTCCCAAAAGCATAGGGCAAAAGATATGGGTGGGTACTGTGCATTCTGCCATGTACTCATGAAATGAAATCCCAAGTCAAGTGCAGAGCTGGAGGAAGAAAGGAGTCACAAACACATTAGTTCCAAGTGCTAGAGAATCATTCAATGGTGTGAGAGAAGATTGCCTAACTTTATTTATCAGACTTTATTTATAATTGGTAAAAGATTAAAGTCCACATACATAAAAATCAGGCAAATATGGTAAAAAAAAAATTAGGAAAAAGAAAGATGATAGGTCTTGTTTAGAGGATATTAGAACATATAAGAAAATGGAATTTTTTAGCCAGGCTTGGTGGCTCAGCCTGTAATCCCGTGCCTTTGGGAGGCTGAGGTGAGTGGATTGCCTGAGCCCGCGGGTTCGAGACCCGCTTGGGCAGGCGAGACCTCCTCTCTACAATGAAATCAAAAAATTAGCCGGGCGTGGTAGCGTGTGCCTGTAATTCTGGCTACTTGGAAGGCTGAGGCGGAAGGATCGCCGGAGCCCAGCAGTCGAGGCTGCGGTGGCCGGGAGAGGCCACTGCACTCCAGTCCAGGCAACAGAGTAAGACTCCAATTGAAAAAAAAAAAAGAAAAAAAAAAGAAAATAGAATTTTTTTAAAGCAATAATAATTAAAACAGAGAAATACTAGCAGGTAAATAAATAGAACAACTGCTAATGTATGTAAAAAGTACACCAATGAACTATATTGATTAATATACTAATGTATTATACATTAAAATTGCAAAGAAATATGAAAGAAAATGTAAGATTAGGATTTAAGAAAATACATTATTTATAAAAATAACAGTTAAGTTCTTAAATATATCATAGATTAAACATCAATTTCAGACTACTAAAGAGTTAAAAGTACAGTATTAAATTAAAAGATAGGGCTGAGTGAGGTGGTTTATGCCTGTAATCCCAGCATGTTGGGAGAGTGAGGTGAATGGAAGGATTACTTGAGCTCAGAGGTTTGAGACCAACCTAGGCAACATAGCAAGCCCTCATCTCTACAAAAAAGAAAAGAAAAAGTAACTGGGCATGTTGACACACAGCTGTAGTCCCAGCTATTCAGGAGGCTGAGGTGGAGGATCATCTGAGCCCAGGAGATCCAGGCTGAGTTGAGCCATGACCATGCCACTGCACTCTAGTCTGGGCATCAGAGTGAGACACTGACTCAAAAAGAAAAAAAAAATTAAAAGATAGATAGAGCAAATAGGTAAATATGTCTTAGTGATTACAATGATAAAAAGGAAACATTAAACTAAATATCACAACACACTTTATTCCTATCTTTAAACACCTGTCACCCATCATAAACCAAAAATGAAGAAACATGAAAAACAAGAGAATATTTATAACAAAAAGAATTTATATTCACACAGTATGAAGAATATTTTCTAATTGATAAAGCAATGGAATCTTTTACTGAACACTCATTCAATGTAGAAAAATAATTTTAAGCTCTTACTCTGAACCATGGCCTCTGCAAGGCATTTCCTGTTGCCTATATCGTGGGTGAGAG